TTTTTGGGGGGGGGGGGGGGGGCAACCCGACTCGCATCTCCACGCCCGGGGACACGGCCAGGAGCCCCACGTCGCTCGTCGTCCCCGACAGCAATGAAAAGAGAAGACAACCGCAACTGGCGGCCTCACGCGGGTAATCGGTCAGAGCCTGATGCCGCGATCCTCGCACACGGACACCAGCTCAGGCTGCATGCCGCCCACGCGAGGGGCGAGGAGATCCTGCACGCGAGGGGAGATCCTGTGCACTCATCTCGTCGTGCGGACGACGCAAGCCGTCCGCCGCGGGCACGGGCGCCACAGGCGCCACGACGCTCTGCTTGACGAAGCGGCGGCGCGGCTTGCCGCGCGCGGTCGAGAAGAACGCGCCAAAGCCCTGATCAAACTCGAGGCGAAGCATGGCGCCGCCGTGCACGTGGCGCGGAAGCGCGCCTTCCCACACAGGTTGGCGCCACGCAGCGAGGGCGCCGGTGTTGCGCATCTCAAAGTTGCCGGTGATGGCACGGCCGCCCTGAAATATGCGAGCGGAGATCACGCGAGGATCCGCAGTAGCGGCAAGGACGTAGCGAAGTCGCATGGGGCCGTGGTATGTGCTATCAACGCGCGGTACGTGCGGCTCCACCATCTCCTCGGCGACAGACATCATATCCTGCACGGGCGCCACCGATGCGACCGGCTGAGCAGAGACCGGTTGAACCACCACGATGCCAGGTGCGATGGGCATTGGGCGGGGAAGGGGCGAGGGGCGAGGGGGGCGTCTCGCGCCTTCAAGCTCGGGGCGGCCCCTTCCTTGAGGGCGGCGGCCACGAGCCGCGGCGCTGCCCCCTCCTTGCCGAGGGCGGCGGCCAGCGCCTTGCAGCCCTCGTCGCCAATCTGGTTGTAGTGGAGAACGAGCGTCTCGAGCCGCGGCGCTGCCCCCTCCTTGCCGAGGGCGGCGGCCAGCGCCTTGCAGCCCTCGTCGCCAATCTTGTTGCCGCCGAGAGAAAGCTTCTCGAGCCGCGGCGCCGCCCCGCTCGCGAGGACCTCCGCCAGCTGCGCCGCCTCCGCGTCGCCCCAGCCGAGGCCGCGGTAGTTCAGCTCGGTCTGCATGGGTAGTTTGATGCCGCGCTCCTCGCACACAGCCACCAGCTCCTTGCACTCTGCCGCGCCTTGCTCCTCGAACAGCGCCGCCAGCTCGGCGGGCTGACCATCCACATAGAGCGCCTGCACGCGAGGGGAGGTGCGATGAGCATTGGGCGGGGGAGGGGCGTGTGGCGAGGGGGGCGTCTTGCGCCTTCAAGCTCGGGGCAGCCCCGTCTTTGAGGGCGGCGGCCAGCGCCTTGCAGCCCTCGTCGCTAATCGGGTTGCCTTTGAGATCGAGCCACTCGAGCCGCGGCGCTGCCCCCTCCTTGCCGAGGGCGGCGGCCAGCGCCTTGCAGCCCTCGTCGCCAATCTTGTTGCCGTCGAGCCGGAGCTCCTCGAGCCGCGGCGCTCACATGGACCACCAAGAACTGGCACGGGCTGCAGATGCAGCGTTTGTTTGTCGTCCTCCACACCGCCGTGGCGTGGCAGACGGTGAACGAGCTAGCGTGCGGGGAGAGCGGCATTGTGCACGGTGCGGAGTGCATTGCCGTTCTTAACGGAGTCGCTTAGGCGGCTCCGGCGGTGAGCCGGTGAGTGTGCCAGTCCGCGCCAGTCCGCGCCCTTGTCGTGCCAGTGTGCTGTGGGAGAGGCTTGTATTTTAAGAATTCTTCTTTCGGAGGTGAGCCGGTGTGTGTGCCAGTCCGCGCCAGTCCGCGCCCTTGTCGTGCCAGTGTGCTGTGTGAGAGGCTTGTATTTTAAGAATTCTTCTTTCGGAGGTGAGCCGGCGAGTGTGCCAGTCCGCGCCAGTCCGCGCCCTTGTCGTGCCAGTGTGCTGTGAGAGAGGCTTGTATTTTAAGAATTCTTTCGGGGGGCGAGGCCGGAGGAGTATGCTTCGACGGCCCATAAGGGGCCGTTGTCTGCTGTGCCTTTTGTGGTGCTAGTTCGTGCCAGTCTGCTGTGAGAGGGGCTTGTATTCGACGAAGGGGATGACACGCAAGACTCGAGAAGAAGTCCCTTTTTTAGGCACGAAGTGACATGGAGACACGTCAAGGGGCACAGTGGTCATAAGTGGAACGACTACGTCGATAAGCAAGCGGACCTCGGCAGGAGCGGCGCGAGGGATTGCGACGCACCGGAGTGGCAAGACGAGTCTATCCCAACAGACGCAGACGACGGGGAGAGCAGCACCGTGGGCGACGACGTGGTTATTAACGGAGGAGGTACAACCATCCCACTCGACGACATCGGTGATGGGGCCTCTAGCTACGCCGATGACCCACCCGACTCCCCCGAAAACAGACCGCCGCCTAGCGCCCCGCCCTCGCCGCCTAAAGCCCCAGCCGTGGAGCATGGGGTGATATGGATTTCATACACGCCGAGCGCGCAGGCGCGACACATCGGAGACAACAAGGGGATCCGACGTGAAAGAGCTATCGACATTGACGTTGACCCAGCCGATTCCACCGATGTCGACGTCATCACCTCCGCGGCTACCGCGCTTTCGCTCGACGACACCGTGGAGAATCGCACCGAGGACCTTGCCGAGGCGATAGGCCGAATCACTTTGGACCCCGACCCCGCCCCCACCCCTCGGGGTGGGGGCACCCGCCCCTGTCGGGCACCGCTTGCGGCGCCTGGCAGGGGCACCCCCTGGGTGGGGGCCGGCGATTCCCATGCCGGCTCTCCGCCACAACCCCCGCCGGGAGGGAATCCCTGCTCACAGAAAAGGGCTTCGAGCCCTGTCTCGCGCACGCCCCTGGCGGGCGCCGCGGACCAGTTCCGCGAGCGCTCGTCAGCGGGTGGTGTGCGGTTCTTGCCGTAGTTCCTCTTCGGTCGCCTAGCCCCGGCGCCGTCTGTCGGACGCCTGCGTGTCACGAGTGCGAGCCGCTCGCGGTTCGTACACCCGCTTGCGGGTTCGAGTGGCGGGCCATCCCGCTTGCGGGATGGCTTAGCGGGTTCGAGCCGTCACACATTGGCTGCCGGGGTGTGCCGAGGGGGGGCTGGGTGGGCGGTAGGCCGTCATTGCCCGGCGCTGCTTGCAGCGCTCTGGGTGGTAGTGGCGGCGCTCCAAGAGTGGTGCTCTTGGGAAGAGGTTCCTCCTTTCCGCTCCCCCCCCGCAAGGCGCGAGACACAGGGGTCACACCCGACGACCTCGGGAACTAGCCGGGGCAGTCGGAGAAGTGGCAACTCCGTGCACTGACGGTCGGCCGCCAGAAAACACGCCTGCGTGGATCGGGTTACACCAATCCTCGCTACCCAACGCGGCCAAAGGATATCCACCTCGAGAACCTCGAGAGCTTGGATTCGTAGAATCTTTTCGGGTTGTAAGATTCTTTCGGAGTCCGCCCAGACTCTGGGGCCGCGATATGATTGATACAGAGCAAGCCATCATCGATACCGAGCGCAAGGCCGGTCCAAACATCCGCACGCTCAAGGCGCGTTGCTAGCCGCTCGCTCAAGCTCACACAGACAGCACTCAGCACTTCTGCTCCACCGATGGACTAGACACGGCAGCCGGAGACGCTTATCAGTGCAGCCGGGCTGGTGCGATGCGAGTGCGACCAGCAGCGTGCGCCGCGGCTAGCACCAAACAGACGGCAAGGCACGCGCCAGATGCTGCGGCCGGGGGTGGCAGTGCCTTCCAGCGGAGCGACAGCGAGTGCTGCGGCTAGTAGCGGTCGCCGCGGCCAGCAGCGAGCGTTGCAGGCAGTCAGGAGGCGGCGCGGCAAACTGCATAGGCGCTGGCGCCGGTGCTGGTGATGGTCCTTGTGCTGGTTGTGATGGCGGCCACGGGCGGCAAGGCCGCGATGGAGAGCTTCGTCAACGACCGCGAGGCGCTGAGGGCTGGCGGCAGGACGCAGCACGGGCGGCTGAGGCTCTTCGGCTTCCTAGAAGTGTCTAGGAAGTATCCGGGAAGTGTCTAGGACGCTGCACGGGTGGCTGAGGCTCTTCGGCTTCACGTTCGCTCTCTCCCTCTCCTTTGCCTTCCCGATGCCGCTCTACGTCTTCCTCCTCGACCTCGCGGTGGGGTGGAGGACAGCGGTGCCCCCCTCGCCCTACCCCACTCCCTTCACGCAAAAGGACAACCCCGGGACCGAGAACAGCTCATGCCTTCACCGCCCCGACGCCGAGGATACCAACACAGCCCCTGTGCCAATCCGTCTCGGACAACCTCGGGCAACCTCGGGCAGTCTCGGGTAATCTCGGGCAGTCTCGGGTAATCTCGGGCAGTCTCGGGTAATCTCGGGTCATCTCGGGCATTCTCGGGTCATCTCGGGCAGTCTCGGGCAACCTCGGGTAATCTCAGGTAATGTCGGGTCATCTCGGCAGGTGCCCCTCTGCTACGCCGCGTCGGTCTCGTCGACTCTCGGTGTGTACGGCGTCTCCCTCGCCTTGACCGACGGGAGGTGCCGCTTCTCGGAGCTGGCGGGTCTGCTGTGAACGGCGTCTCTTCACACCTCCCGCTGTGAACAGGTGCCGCTTCTCGGAGCTGGCGGGTCTGCTGTGAACGGCGTCTCTTCACACCTCCCGCTGTGAACAGGTGCCGCTTCTCGGAGCTGGCGGGTCTGCTGTGAACGGCGTCTCTTCACACCTCCCGCTGTGAACAGGTGCCGCTTCTCGGAGCTGGCGGGTCTGCTGTGAACGGCGTCTCTTCACACCTCCCGCTGTGAACAGGTGCCGCTTCTCGGAGCTGGCGGGTCTGCTGTGAACGGCGTCTCTTCACACCTCCCGCTGTGAACAGGTGCCGCTTCTCGGAGCTGGCGGGTCTGCTGTGAACGTGAACGGCGTCTCTTCACACCTCCCGCTGTGAACAGGTGCCGCTTCTCGGAGCTGGCGGGTCTGCTGTGAACGGCGTCTCTTCACACCTCCCGCTGTGAACAGGTGCCGCTTCTCGGAGCTGGCGGGTCTGCTGTGAGCGGCGTCTCTTCACACCTCCCGCTGTGAACAGGTGCCGCTTCTCGGAGCTGGCGGGTCTGCTGTGAGCGGCGTCTCTTCACACCTCCCGCTGTGAACAGGTGCCGCTTCTCGGAGCTGGCGGGTCTGCTGTGAGCGGCGTCTCTTCACACCTCCCGCTGTGAACAGGTGCCGCTTCTCGGAGCTGGCGGGTCTGCTGTGAGCGGCGTCTCTTCACACCTCCCGCTGTGAACAGGTGCCGCTTCTCGGAGCTGGCGGGTCTGCTGTGAACGGCGTCTCTTCACACCTCCCGCTGTGAACAGGTGCCGCTTCTCGGAGCTGGCGGGTCTGCTGTGAACGGCGTCTCTTCACACCTCCCGCTGTGAACAGGTGCCGCTTCTCGGAGCTGGCGGGTCTGCTGTGAACGGCGTCTCTTCACACCTCCCGCTGTGAACAGGTGCCGCTTCTCGGAGCTGGCGGGTCTGCTGTGAACGGCGTCTCTTCACACCTCCCGCTGTGAACAGGTGCCGCTTCTCGGAGCTGGCGGGTCTGCTGTGAACGGCGTCTCTTCACACCTCCCGCTGTGAACAGGTGCCGCTTCTCGGAGCTGGCGGGTCTGCCTCCTATGAACGGCGTCTCTTCACACCTCCCGCTGTGAACAGGTGCCGCTTCTCGGAGCTGGCGGGTCTGCTGTGAACGGCGTCTCTTCACACCTCCCGCTGTGAACAGGTGCCGCTTCTCGGAGCTGGCGGGTCTGCTGTGAACGGCGTCTCTTCACACCTCCCGCTGTGAACAGGTGCCGCTTCTCGGAGCTGGCGGGTCTGCCTCCTATGAACGGCGTCTCTTCACACCTCCCGCTGTGAAACAGGTGCCGCTTCTCGGAGCTGGCGGGTCTGCTGTGAACGGCGTCTCTTCACACCTCCCTCTGTGAACAGGTGCCGCTTCTCGGAGCTGGCGGGTCTGCCTCCTATGAACGGCGTCTCTTCACACCTCCCGCTGTGAACAGGTGCCGCTTCTCGGAGCTGGCGGGTCTGCCTCCTATGAACGGCGTCTCTTCACACCTCCCTCTGTGAACAGGTGCCGCTTCTCGGAGCTGGCGGGTCTGCTGTGAACGGCGTCTCTTCACACCTCCCGCTGTGAACAGGTGCCGCTTCTCGGAGCTGGCGGGTCTGCTGTGAGCGGCGTCTCTTCACACCTCCCGCTGTGAACAGGTGCCGCTTCTCGGAGCTGGCGGGTCTGCTGTGAACGGCGTCTCTTCACACCTCCCGCTGTGAACAGGTGCCGCTTCTCGGAGCTGGCGGGTCTGCTGTGAACGGCGTCTCTTCACACCTCCCGCTGTGAACAGGTGCCGCTTCTCGGAGCTGGCGGGTCTGCTGTGAACGGCGTCTCTTCACACCTCCCGCTGTGAACAGGTGCCGCTTCTCGGAGCTGGCGGGTCTGCTGTGAACGGCGTCTCTTCACACCTCCCGCTGTGAACAGGTGCCGCTTCTCGGAGCTGGCGGGTCTGCTGTGAACGGCGTCTCTTCACACCTCCCGCTGTGAACAGGTGCCGCTTCTCGGAGCTGGCGGGTCTGCTGTGAGCGGCGTCTCTTCACACCTCCCGCTGTGAACAGGTGCCGCTTCTCGGAGCTGGCGGGTCTGCTGTGAACGGCGTCTCTTCACACCTCCCGCTGTGAACAGGTGCCGCTTCTCGGAGCTGGCGGGTCTGCTGTGAACGGCGTCTCTTCACACCTCCCGCTGTGAACAGGTGCCGCTTCTCGGAGCTGGCGGGTCTGCTGTGAACGGCGTCTCTTCACACCTCCCGCTGTGAACAGGTGCCGCTTCTCGGAGCTGGCGGGTCTGCTGTGAACGGCGTCTCTTCACACCTCCCGCTGCGAACAGGTGCCGCTTCTCGGAGCTGGCGGGTCTGCTGTGAACGGCGTCTCTTCACACCTCCCGCTGTGAACAGGTGCCGCTTCTCGGAGCTGGCGGGTCTGCTGTGAACGGCGTCTCTTCACACCTCCCGCTGTGAACAGGTGCCGCTTCTCGGAGCTGGCGGGTCTGCTGTGAGCGGCGTCTCTTCACACCTCCCGCTGTGAACAGGTGCCGCTTCTCGGAGCTGGCGGGTCTGCTGTGAACGGCGTCTCTTCACACCTCCCGCTGTGAACAGGTGCCGCTTCTCGGAGCTGGCGGGTCTGCTGTGAACGGCGTCTCTTCACACCTCCCGCTGCGAACAGGTGCCGCTTCTCGGAGCTGGCGGGTCTGCTGTGAACGGCGTCTCTTCACACCTCCCGCTGTGAACAGGTGCCGCTTCTCGGAGCTGGCGGGTCTGCTGTGAACGGCGTCTCTTCACACCTCACGCTGTGAACAGGTGCCGCTTCTCGGAGCTGGCGGGTCTGCTGTGAACGGCGTCTCTTCACACCTCACGCTGTGAACAGGTGCCGCTTCTCGGAGCTGGCGGGTCTGCTGTGAACGGCGTCTCTTCACACCTCCCGCTGTGAACAGGTGCCGCTTCTCGGAGCTGGCGGGTCTGCCTTCCTGCCTGGCCAGAGCAGCCGCACGGGTTGAGGGCTACCTCGAGGGGTCGACGCTACGCCTCTTCCTGCACCGCCAGGCGCCGCCGTGCGCCACCGGCACACTCGGCCTCTTCGCCGCCTACCTGCCGGGCGTCCGGCCGAGGACCTTCTGCGCGATTGTGGTGTTTGGAGACCTGCTGTGGATCCCGGTCTAGTCCAGAGGTAATCAAGAGTTAATTAAGAGTTAATTAATGATTAATAGGTGTTTGCAAACCTGCTGTGGATCCCGGTCTAGTCCAGAGGTAATCAAGAGTTAATTAAGAGTTAATTAATGATTAATAGGTGTTTGGAGACCTGCTGTGGATCCCGGTCTCCTGTGAACGGCGTCTCTTCACACCTCCCGCTGTGAACAGGTGTTTGGAGACCTGCTGTGGATCCCGGTCTCTGCGGCGGTGGCGGAGGTGGTGTCGGCGAGGGGGCTGGGGGAGCAGCAAGAGACGAGCGGGTTACTTTCGGCGTAGCAGTTGAGTCTAGATCTAGCGTGCTCACGTCAGCTCGCTCGCGTGCATGTGTGTCACAGTGACAGTGACGCATGCTAGAGTGCCCCCATGGCCCATGGCCAGTGCACATACGATACCTGTACGGCTTTATTCAGCCTGTAACCTGACACCGCTGGCGCTGCGCTCGCGATGTATCTCTTATTCCGGGGCCGGTGTGTGCGGGGAGCGAACCTTAACGACCGCCCAGAAGCTTTCTGAGCGAACCAATCGGGCCAGGATCATCAGCATATGTCCAGGGTAGGCTCCGCCCCACTGTGATTAGAACTGAGCGACGGCAGGACCCTTTGAAATCATGAATGGCGGCGTTCGGTGAGGCCCCCACGGCCGGGGGCGGTAAGTGCCGTGTTTTTTTTTTTTGCGCACGGCCGTGCGACGTGCCTCGCCCGCCCGTCTCGACGCGCGCTCGACGCGTGCACGCGGCCTCCGCTACGGCAGTGAGCATGGACTTTGTCGTCGATGCGCGGCCCGAGAACGAGCCTCTCGCGCCATCGGCCGAGGGTGCTCCGTCTCGCAAGCGGCGCCGCAAGCGCAGCGGAAACGCGGCGCGTGAGCAGATGCTGGCGTCGCTGGTCTTCAGTGAGGGCGGAGCGAGCGCTGCGATCGAGGAGGCCGACGCGGACGCTTTCGGAGCCGCGGCGGCTGCTTCCGACGGCGAGGGCGACGAGGGCCTGTCCGGCGGCGAGCAGCCGAGCGGCGGCGAGAGCGGCGGCGAGGAGGAGGCGGAGGAAGAGGGCGAGGAGGAGGCGGAGGAGGAGGAGGAGGAGGAGGAGGAGGAGGGCGGCGAGGAGGGCGGCGAGGGCGACGGCGGCCGCGACCCCGCGCCCGCGTGGCAGGACGACGACGACGACGAGCTGCAGGTCGACCTATCCCGACGCTTCCGAGACGCGTCCGAGACGCGTCCTAGACACTTCCGAGACACCTCCGAGACACTTCCTAGACACTTCCTAGACACTTCCTAGACACTTCCTAGACGCTTCCGAGACGCGTCCTAGACACTTCCTAGACACTTCCTTGACGACGAGCTGGAGGTCGACGTGACGGCGGGCGGCTCGCGGCTGCGCGCGACCTTTCGCAGACCTCTCCTGCACCCTTCCCGCAGGTCGACGTCATGGCGGGCGGCTCGCGGCTACGCAAGCTGCGCACCCGCCCTTCGGAGCGCGTGCTTGGAGGCAAGGAGTACGAGGCGAGGCTTCGCGCGCAGTCCGCCTCTCTAGATGAGCGAAAGAGTATGAGGCGAGGCTGCGCGCGCAGTCTGCCTCTCTAGATGAGCGAAAGAGTACGAGGCGAGGCTGCGCGCGCAGTCTGCCTCTCTAGATGGAGCCGCGCACTGAGTTGTACTCTACTCCGTCGTCCGCTCACGATGACGTCTCTCCAGCGCTAACACCGTCTCCAGCGCGTATTCCGCCGTCTTGCAAGCCGCTCTCCCTGCACTCGGCCCCCACCTCCCGCCCCTCACGCCGCCGCCTCTTCGTCCGCCGCAGGTTCGCGGCTACGCAGCCGGCGACGGGGTGGGCGGAGATGCCGGCGCGGCGCGGGGCGAAGGGGAAGCAGCGGCGACCAAAGCAACCGGCAGGCGGCGCGTCGAGTGACGAGGACTCGGACGGGGCGGTCGAGCAGCTCGCGGCCGAGGCGCAGGATGCGCTTCTGCGCGGCGCCCCGTCGCTTCTCGGCCGTTCGGACGCGATCTCTGGCCAGGCGCTCGCCGTGTAATCTCGGGGTGATCTCGGGTACTCTCGGGTGATCTCGGGTGATCTCGGGAAGTCTCGGGGTGATCTCGCGTGATCTCGGGCCAGGCGCGCGCCTGATCTCGGGAAATCTCGGGAAATCTCGGGGTGATCTCGGGAAGTCTCGGGTGATCTCGCGCGATCTCGGGCCAGGCGTTCGCCGTGTAATCTCGGGTACTCTCGGGTACTCTCGGGTGATCTCGGGAAATCTCGGGGCGATCTCGCGTGATCTCGGGCACGGCATTCGGAGTGTAATCTCGGCTGATCTCGGAGACTCTCGGAGACGCCTCGCGCGATCTCCCGTGCTTGAGATTGCACAGGAGCTCGCCGTGAAGCGGACCGTCGACCTCAACGCCGCCGCCGCCTCCAACTCCGCCGTCAGCTGCGTCGCCTGGCACCCGAATGGTCAGCTCGCCCTCACGGCGGGGCTCGACAAGACGCTTCGACTGTTCCGCGTCGACGGCGAGACACTTCCTAGACACTTCCTAGACACTTCCTAGACACTTCCTAGACACCTCCTAGACATTTCAGGGGCAGGAGCGGCGCCCACCTAGACACTTCCTAGACACTTCCTAGACACTTCCTAGACACTTCCTAGACACCTCCTAGACACTTCCTAGACACTTCCTAGACACTTCCTAGACACTTCCTAGACACTTCCTAGACACTTCCTAGACACTTCCTAGACACTTCCTAGACACTTCCTAGACACTTCCTAGGCACTTCCTAGACACTTCCTAGACACTTCCTAGACACTTCCTAGACACTTCCCAGGCACTTCCTAGACACTTCCTAGACACTTCCTAGACACTTCCTAGACACTTCCTAGACACCTCCTAGGCACTTCCTAGACACTTCGTAGGCACTTCCTAGACACTTCCTAGACACTTCCTAGGCACTTCCTAGACACTTCCTAGACACTTCCTACACACTTGCTAGACACTTCCTAGACACTTCCTAGGCACTTCCTAGACACTTCCTAGACACTTCCTAGACACTTCCTAGACACTTCCTAGGCACTTCCTAGGCACTTCCTAGACGCTCCCTAGACACCTCCTAGACACTTCCTAGACACTTCCTAGACACTTCGTAGACACTTCCTAGACATTCCCTAGACACTTCCTAGACACTTCCTAGACACTTCCTAGACACTTCCTAGGCACTTCCTAGACACTTCCTAGACACTTCCTAGACACTTCCTAGACACCTCCTAGACATTCCCTAGACATTCCCTAGGCACTTCCTAGACACTTCCTAGACACTTCCTAGACACTTCCTAGACATTCCCTAGACACTTCCTAGGCACTTCCTAGACACTTCCTAGACACTTCCTAGACACTCCCTAGACACCTCCTAGACACTTCCTAGACACTTCCTAGACACCTCCTAGACACCTCCTAGACACTTCCCAGACTTTTCCGCGTCGACGGCGCGTTGCAACACGCCGCTGCGCAGCCGTACCACCTTGCCATCGCGACCCATAGCCCACCTCTGTCGTCCTGTCGCCAGGCACCCGCAACACGCTGCTGCAGTCTGTCCACTTGCCGAAGCTTCAGGCCGGCCGGTGGTGGGCAGCTCCGACTACGTGTGAGCAGCTCTGATCAGCTCTCACCACGGCGCTGCAGGTCGCCTCCGCCGCCTTCTCCTCCGACGGCGCGCGAGCCTTCGCGTGCGGCCGAGGGCGCCAGTGGGCCTGCGTCGACCTGCACAGCGGCCGAGCGACGATGATGCCGCCGCTCCCGGGCAGGGAGGAGGCGGGCTACCGCGAGGTTGTGCCTTCGCCGGACGGCGCCACCATCGCGCTGCTCTGCGACTCGGGCGCGCTCCTGCTCCTCTCGCAGAAGAGCCGCACCCTGACCTAGAAGCGGAATCCCTCCCCACATCTCCCCACATCTCCCCACATCTCCCCACATCTCCCCACATCTCCCCACATCTCCCCATATCTCGCTGCCTTCCGCCGTATCCCGCTGCACTGCACTGCCCTCGTGTCCTCTCGGTCTCCCCCCCCCCCCCCCCCGAGGCTGGCATCTCCACGCGCTAGGCACCCTCCTCGCCACCCTGCAGCCCTCCGAGCCGACCGCGCGCTTCGGCGGCGGCCGGTGCGTCGCGTGCTCCGCGCGAGGAAGTGTCTAGGACATGTCTAGGACGTGTCTAGGCGGCTGCCAGTGCGTCGCCTATTCTCCCGACGGCGCGCTGCTGTTTGCTTCCGGCGGCGGGAACGGCCGCGTGCAGGTGCGGGGGACACTTCCGAGACACTTCCTGTGGTGGACGGGGGACACTTCCGAGACACTTCCTGTGGTGGACGGGGGACACTTCCGAGACACTTCCTGTGGTGGACGGGGGACACTTCCGAGACACTTCCTGTGGTGGACGGGGGACACTTCCGAGACACTTCCTGTGGTGGACGGGGGACACTTCCGAGACATTTCCTGTGGTGGACGGGGGACACTTCCGAGACACTTCCTGTGGTGGACGGGGGACACTTCCGAGACACTTCCCGTGGTGGACGGGCTCTGGCGCAGGTGTGGGACGTGCGGCGGCGCGTGTGCATCCACACTTGGCACGACGCCTCGGGCGTGCGAACCACGCGCATCGCGCTCTCCCCCGACGGCCGCTACGTGGCCACCGGCTCGGACGCGGGCGTCGTCGCGCTGTACGAGACCGCCGCGGTCGTCGCGGGCGGCGAGCCAAAGGCGCTGAAGGAGTTCATGAACGTCCGCACCGCCATCACGGCGCTCGCCTTCAACCACTCCTCCGAGCTGCTCGCGTTCGCGTCCAAGTACGCAAAGGCGTCGATGCGAGTCGCGCATTTGGCGACTCGCCGTGTCTACCCCAACTGGCCGACGTCGAAGACGCCGCTCAAGTACGTGCAGTCGTTTGCCTTCTCGCCAGGGTCGGGATACCTCTCCTTCGGCAACGACAAGGGCGCCGCGCTGCTCTACCGCCTCAACCACTTTGAGGCGGCGTGACGGAGGCGCGGCGCCGCTCCTCGTCCGAAGCGCGGGGAGCGTCTCATGATTGTTGGGCTCCAGTCAGTGGCTGCCCGGCATTACTTTTGACGCTCATCCAACTCGTCCTTCTGGATCCGGGTCCTCGTGTTCTTTTATTCTGACGTACGATGGTGAGAGAATGCGCAAGTTGTGGCTCCAGTGGCTGTCGCGGCGTTGGCGGCTCGTCCAACTCGCTTATAGCTAATGTAAAACCACTTACTCTACCCGCCCGGCGGCCCGCCCGCGCGCGACACCGACAGCGGGTCCGGATAAGATTATTTTTTGACTTATGCTCTAACTAAGGTGTGCAGTTTTGGCGAAGGTATATCATTGCTTCCCACTATGCCACGTCGCCCATCCCAGACCACACTCCCGGGTCGCGGAACATGTGTCCGGTTTGGTTGCCGGCCGGGATGCGGTCGATCGGGGTGGACTCCTTAGTGCTTAGAGGAATTCATTTTTTCGACCGTCGGACTGGGATTCGAACTGGCGATGGCGACGGTATATCATTTCCCACTATGCCACATCGCCCATCCCGCGGGATGGGCGACGTGGCATAGTGGGAAATGATATACCGTCGCCATCTGCAAAACCACACTCCCGGGTCGCGGAACATGTGTCCTGAGCCCTACTCTCTCGACACCTCGACACCAAACCTCGACACCGACTCGACACCTCGACACCCCAAATCTCGACACCTCGACACCCCTCGACACCCCTCGACACCCCTCGACACCCCTCGACACCGCTCGACAACGCTCGACAACGCTCGACAACGCTCGAACCACCTCGACACCTCTGATGATCCTAAACACAGCTGTTAGAAAATCAGTCACAGAGTTAGAAGATCATGGTTGCAGCAGCAATCAAACTTGGCTGGCAGTACTTTCATCCCTCAGTTGCAGCCTCTCAAGTTCTAGCCCTGGTTCTAGCTCTAAGTTGCAGCTCAGTTGCACCCCTGTTGATGTAGCAACCATGGCAGTACTCCCAGGTAGCCCTCAGGTGCTGCACAGCACTTGTACAAGTGGCAATGAATCCTCACACCAGTGAGCTTGTGCCATGAGTGCGGACCTGTGGTCTCCATTGCGCTTTGTGCACTGGCGACGCTGCAACGGCGACGCTTGCAGCGGCGGCGACGCTGCTGCGATGGGGTACTGTAGCCCTTAGCTGCTGGAAGGCACCTTGTGCAGTGGCAATGTCCACTGACTCATGGCACCAGCCTTGTGCCATGTTGAGCGCTGTGGTCAGTTGCGCTTTTGTGCGCCGGCGACGCTGCAGGGGCGACGACGCTGCAGCGGCGACGCTGCTGCATGGGGTGTGCTGTAGCCCTAGGTGCTGCGCCTGCACAGCACCTTGTGCAGTGGCAATGACTCCTGGCAATGAGCTTGATGTCCTCAAATGTCCACACAGAGTATACTGGTTGTGCTCACAGGTTGTGCTACATCAACAGGGGTGCAACTGAGAGGCTGCAACTTAGGGATGAAACAGCTTTGCAACTGCTGCCCAGGTTTTGCTGATGGGCTGCAACTGCATCCTGCCACCTTGGACACCTCGACACCTTAGACGCTGAACAAGCTCCTCTTGTAGCTCGATCGGTCACACCGCCATCGCCGTCGGGGACGAGAGGGGGGACGACACTGCTTTGGCAGCGTGCACCTCGATCCTGTACCGTGTTTGTTATGACCCCCCCCAATGAACACACCAGTGAGGGAGGGCGAGACGATCGAGGGGTCCCGTACCATGCGGAATCGACCCTATCCAGTGCTCAAGTGCTCAAGACGCAACACCCCCTGACAACACTCGACACCCGCTCGACACGCTCGACACCCTCGACACCCCTTGATCAATCGTGATCATTCGGGAAGTCGGTGCTAGTAGAGACTAGTAGAGCCGGAGCCCGGTTTCCGCACTGCTGCGCGGCGCACGGTGCCTCCGGGGGCTTTTCTGTGAGCAGGGATTCCCTCCCGGCGGGGGTTGTGGCGGAGAGCCGGCCGGCATGGGAATCGCCGGCCCCCACCCAGGGGGTGCCCCTGCCGGGCGCGCCGCAAGCGGTGCCCGGACCACACTCGACACGCCGCGCGTTCGGGCTGAAGTCGATGAAAGAAATTGCGCGTGGCCCTGGATGTGAGGTTACCGTAATACCGACTGCACTCCAAGTGCTCCAAGTGCGAGCCGCAACGCCAAATGCTCCAAGCTGCGCAAAGTGCTCCAAGTGCGTGTGGGTATGTTGAAAAAACAACCACTCCTACCCCCTCAAAAGCACTACTACCTAACAGTCCAATTTCATGCACCTCCCCCTGCGCCGACTCCACTGTCAGAGCCCCTTCACATATAGAGCTCGAACCCTTCCTGCCCGCTAACCGCATCTCGAATCGCTTTCGCGCCCTCGTCGCCCAAATCGTTGCCGCCGATCTTTAGGGCTTTCAACACCCCTTTGACGCGAAGAGCGGATACCAGCGCCTTGGCGCCCTCTCCGCCGATGCTGTTGTCGATGAGGTTCAGGTTGGTCAGCACCTCGTTGCCGCGCAGCGCCTCGGCGATCGCGACAACGAGATCGGCAGAGCGTAAGTAGGCTGCGCTGGCTGTAGATCGACCGACGCTTGCGCTCGCTGCGCTATCGTGCGCCGCCGCTTGGCGGTGGTGCGCTGCGTGCGCCACTCGGCGCTTTCGTGCGCGTTGCAGTGCGCCGGCACCCTCGGGTCGCCGCCCCGCCAGTGGCGGCACGCGGACACAGGCGCGTCGCACGCGAAGCAGTAGCAGTTGGGGCAGGCCGCCTCGTTGTCATCGACTGGCGCCGCGACCGGCCTCACCGCCGCATGGAAGGGGTTGAGCGGGCAGAGCGCCCGCAGGTGCGGCAGGTTCTCGAGCAGCGGGCCTGTTCATGCAATAAGCGAGGCGGTGAAGGAGGCTCACACCAGCAACTCGAGGGCGTCTCGGGCGCCTGACGCGATAGAGATTTGCACTTCGCCGTCAAGCGATGGAGAGGCACCGCCGGAGCACAATCGGGGCGGTGCCACCTCCTCCACCTCATCGTCATCGCTCGGTGCCTCCGCCCCCTGGTGCTCTGAATCCGACGCGTCCTGCTCCACCTCCACCTCCACCTCCATGAGCTGTCTGAAGGCCTCCATCAGCGGCGCGATGTGGGGCCTCTGCACGTTGCATTCCTGCAATCCCTCGGCAAAGTCCTCTTGATTCGAAAGGCGCAATAGCCCCACATTCTCGTAGCCATAGTCTCGCAGGCCTATGGAGTACTTTTGAAGCGCAGGATTGATGGACCGGAGCCACTCCCGCAGCGTGTCATCAGTCTCGGCGAGAGCAGCATCAGGCGTTTCGACTTCGGGGCTTCCTAATGCTCGCGCTGGTGTGACAGCCGGCGCTGGCGGCGCAGTCGCGCAGGCGGCAGGGACGGGAGCGGAAGCAGCATCAGGCGTTTCGACTTCAGGCCACGGCGGCAAAGGCGGCAGCGGCGAAGAGCACGGCGAGCCACCAGTATGCGTCGCGCTCATGCTGTAGCGAGAGCAGCTCCGCCTATTCACAGCGCTGAGAGCGTGAAGAGACGCTGCTCCCTCGTAGCTGCCGCGGGGCGATAGAGCTGAGTGCCTGGAGGTCGCGCCCCGGCGTCACGCTGGAGAGCGCAAAGTTGGTTGGCACGGACACGTTCTCTTGAGGCACAACCATCGGACGATGTCGACGAGTTGGGTCGCTCTCGCGGTAGCCAGATGACCTCTCATACTAGGAGCATCGGCCATGGCCGCAGGGAGCGCGGGGGAGGGCGCTGGAAGCAACACGGAGCTCCGTTGGAGGCGTGAAATGGGACTAGCCTTAGTTTTCATGCGCGCCCGGCCGGCGGAGTTTCTTTCTTTTTTTTGTGGTGCCCGTTGGGCGCGCTCTCACTAGCGGACGCCGGCCTCGACACGGGGCGGCCGGCTGCCCCAGAGTCCACCATGGGTGGCGAGACGTCGTGCATCATATGCTTCGAGCGGCCGAAGTCTCACCTCGCGGTGCCGTGCAGCCACTTGTGCGTCTGCGGTCCATGCTCCGAGCTGATGCGAGAGTGTCCGTACTGCCGCGAGCCAGTGATGATGTGGCTCGCCCCGCGGCCTGTGTGATAAGCGGTGGAACCCACCCGATGGTAGGGAGGGGGTGCATGAACGAAAGAATTTTAGCGTTGTGACAAAAAGAATTGACTATTGATGGCCGGGGGCCGCCGCGTTCTTTTCCATCGCAGAGCAGCGGAGCTAAGTGCCTCGACGCGCCGTCCTCGCGGCAGTCGCTTAGGCGGCTCCCGTGGTGTACCTGTGTTAGTGCCGCCAGTGCGCGCCAGTCCCGTGTGCCGGTTTTGAGTCGACCGCTTCGCGCTTGCCTTCCTCCTGCACCACAGGAGCGCGCCAAGGCGCGCGTCTGGGCAAGCAGTGCGTCTCATCGCGATGCGAGAGTCGATGCTGTGACGCCGCCGCTCGCCGGCGCGGTAGCCAGACGACCTCTCATACTAGCATCATCGGCCATGGCCGCAGGGCCAGGGAGCGCGGGGGAGGGCGCTGGGAGCAACACGGTCACGGAGCTCCGTTGGACGTTTTCAAGAGATTAGCGTTTAGCGTGTCAGAGTGAATTGGAACTAGAGGAAGGGGGGGGGGGGGGGGGGGGCGTGAGTTGATTGAGGAAATCGAGGGACGCGACCCACTTCGCCACAGACGGTCCCGCGCCTCGCCGCTAAGTTTGCGGCACGCCCCGCACCGTCCGCTGTGCCGCGTTTTTTGTCCGGAGTGAAAAGTCCAACGCGCTCGTCGGTGGCGGCTTCCCTCAACCTGCGCTGCGCTCGGCGAACCTCGACAGCGCTTTCGGTGGCATGCAGCTCTTTGCGACAGAAGCCTGGAGAGCAGCTCCTCTGCTGCTCACACGCTCTGCACAGTTGACACAGCCTACTGTGCGGCTACCACAGCTGTGACAGCGATGGGCTCGCCCTCACTGGCCCTCAGTCACTTGTGCTGCGGCTTGTCGGTGAGCGACACTGCTCGACGACTGCCGGCACACTGTGAGACCATGGGTGTGAGGTAAAACCACGCTACCAGCGCTTGGTCACATCGGCCCCGAGGTCAGATCCTTCTACTCTGTTAGTGACAAGACTTGTCTACTGGCTGGAGCCGAGCAGGAGGGCCCGGCGCACAACCCCTGGTCAACTCACGGTCTACACCCCGTAGGGCCGAGCGTTTTTGATCTCTCGGTAAGTGGGCGCCCGCCCGCCGCCTCTGAGGGGGTCGGGCCCCCTAGACTGAAAACAAAAACAAGCTCGAAAACAGCCAAAATCAGCCTGCGAGAGAGGCACTGCGCGCCGCTGACCTCATGTGGGGATGTGTGCCGACACCAATACTGATCTAAAACCTGGAAACCCTTGTTCAAATCCGACCCTAAGCGCCATCCTTCCTGCTCTCACCTGATGCTGCTTCCCCGCGCCGCCTCCTTGGCCCCCCTGGGCGTATTTTCTACTCCCAGTGGGGGGCCTGGGCCCCCGGGCCCCCTCTTGTTCTCTGGGCCGGCGCGGGGCCCCCAAAGGGTGTCCATGCGGGGGGGAGATGGGTTCCCACGGCCCGCCGCAGGCGCCGATTTTTTCGAGATTTTTTTTCTTTTTTTTCGCGATTTTTACTTCTTTTCATGAGAATTCTGCGTACTTGCGGCCATGCTATCACGCCTTGCGACAGCCTGTCGGCGCTGCTGACCGTGCCATGATGCACAATTGATCACCTGCATAGCTCGCGGCCTTATTATCAAGCATTCAGTGACGACCTGATCCTACGACCAGTAGGAAGGTGTCCTTCCATCGTGTGCACGCTTCTGGCGCAATGCGCGTCGCCTCGGATTGGCTGCTGGCACTCTCGAGGCTATGCCTACACAGCCTCGCGCGCATGGGCAGTCAGGAGGGACCACGCACCTTCACAGGACAGCGCCGGTGCCTCTCTCTTGGACTGGCAAACTTGGTGGTCTCGTGTCACCAATGTGGGACCAGTGCGGCATCGCGCCATCGACAGCTCTGAACTGCGCCTCACCACTGACCGGGAAGGCCGCCAAGTCGGCCAGCACAGGTCGCATATTGTGGCAGCAGTCAGCAGTGCATGTCTGATAGCTAGAGCTGCAGCGTCAGGGTCGCAGGTTCGGATCGTGTCAAGCCTCTCGCCCGGCCGGCCGCGTGCAGACGTCGGCCTGTCTGCTGTCTGGAGTGATCTGACTGTCGGCGGTCAGAACGACCGATCAGGTTAGAGTTATCTGATGGTTGGAGGGTCTATCTGTATGTACTCCTCGAGATCTCTCCGAATCTGCCCTCTGATTAACCTAGCTTAATCGGGAAGTCGGTGCTAGTAGAGACTAGTAGAGCCGGGGCCCCGTTTCCGCACTGCTGCGCGGCGCACGGTGCCTCCGGGGGCCCCCGCGCCGGCCCAGAGCTCTTGTTTTCTGTTTTCTGTTTTTCAACACGCCCGCCCGCCCGCCACCCCGAGGCGGCTCGGCCCCCCACTTACCGAGAGATCAAAAACGCTCGGCCTAGAGCCTGTTGTGAGAGAGATAGTTCTTCGTTTTGGAAATCTTTTCAGAAGATAGAACACATGTTTTCCCGTGGTCGCGCGCTGCTGTCCACCAGACGTCTACGGCGGGCTACGGCGGGCATGTTGTTTGGCGCCTGTCCCATGGGCGCAGCCGAGCGCGGCGATGGTCAGTTCTGTAGAGCAAGACGATAGAGAGGGCTCCAGTCCGGCCGTAGCACGGAACCAATCTCGGGGGGGGGCACCGCCAGGCCAGTGTACTCCGTCGTGGCTGGCTCCTCTGAAGAGCGGCATGCGGCCGGTTGCAATGCCGTCGAGGCCGATCCGCAGCACATCGACGAACGCCACGCGCATGAATCGGCTGGTGCCGCGCCCCCGCTGCGACGACATGCAGCCCTCTCGCCGATGCTCCTCCTCGGCCACCTGCTCCATGGCCGCGAGGGCAATGTCTCGCGCGCTCGCCACGGCCCGCTGCCGAAAGTCGAACTTACTCGGTCTTCGCCCGGTTGCCTCCACCCTGAGTGTAGGCGGCGAGGACCACAGCACGACCGCCCTTGGCTTGCCGCTTGCCACGTTTGTCGCCACAGCGCGGCGCAGCAGCGCCGTGAGCGCGGCGGCGTAAGGAGTGGTGGCGTTCCTGGACAGCCACCCCTTCCAGACGGGCCAAATGGCGGGATCCAGCACGAGTGCGTCGGGCACCTCCTTGGCGTCGCCGCCTGGCGGGCGCAGGAGCTCGTGTGTGTCGCGCGGGAACCGCATGTCGGAGTACGTTACGCAGAACTCCCACCTCGCAGCGCCTCGGAGAGCGCTCGCGACGAAGCGCCCAAGGCCACGATGCAGCGCGTCATGGCCAAAGAGGGCGCAGCGCCGGTGGCACGTCGGCCCGTTAGCTGAGCATTCCTCGGAGCAGCAGACTGCGGCGGCGTTGTCCGGTGAGTTCTCGAGCGGCGACTGCAGAGACGCGTTGCCAAACAGCATCTCGCGGCCGGGGATCTCGCCGCCACCGAGCAGCTGAGTAGCGAGCGCCATGAAGGCCATCCGGAGGTGTGAGTCACCGGCAATGGCGAGCCACCGATACACGCTTGCCAAGCAGACGGCGGCCGCGTCCAAGGTGGCAAGAGGCGCCTCCGTCGCGGTCGCTGCCGTGGCATTTGATTGCTCGCACGCCAGATCGCGCACACGCAAGTAGGGCGCCACCTCCCGCAGTGGGCCGCACCACTGAGAGAGGCTCGTTTCCCGCTCTAGTAGCACGGTTGAGTTCGCATTGCGCAGCACGGTTGAGGACGCGGCGGCCGCGGCGCTCGAAAAAGGATTGAGGGAAGCGGTCATGCGTGGATTGGCCGGCGCACGCTGTTGTCCGCGTCTATCGTCCAATTCGTGTTGTTTAAATTCTTTTTCTTGACTACCACCGCGACGCCTTTTCATTTTTCTGAAGCTTGCGTGCGCGCGCGCTTTCCGCAAGGATAGGTCTCCCTCCTCGATGCAGACGTCCACTCAAGATGGAGCCGTTTTTCGGCAGCGTATGATGCCGGAGGGTGCGACGGCACGTTCTCCAGGCTCCGTTGGCCACGCCCTCTCTCGCGGTCCCTGCTGGATCCTGGCCTTTGTGGGTGAGCACACGACCGCTCCAGTCAGCCCTGACCCTAACAGGGCCGCACACTCGGATGCGCACACTCGGATGGGCGCTCAGGACGGATGCACGCCGCCACGGGGATGTGTTACACACACGATCAGGCACACACGAACCACACCAGTCAGGCCCAGCACGGCCGCCACCGCTCTTGCTGCCGTCTCCTCGACCGCTCCCGCTGCCGTGTTCAGGGCTCGGGGCGGGAGGGTGGTGGCTCTGGATGACGGAGAAGGCCTCGTATGACCTTGTCCAAACCGCCGACCGCGACGCGCTCATTGGCGCTGCCTTCGCCTTCCGGCAGATTGATCCGTGCGACGCAGGGCGCACGGGCGTCTGGTCTCCGCGCCTTGCGAGCTGTGAACGGCGTCTCTCCACACCCGCGGCTGTGAATAGGCGCACGGGCGTCTGGTCTCCGCGCCTTGCGAGCTGTGAACGGCGTCTCTCCACACCCGCGGCTGTGAATAGGCGCACGGGCGTCTGGTCTCCGCGCCTTGCGAGCTGTGAACGGCGTCTCTCCACACCCGCGGCTGTGAATAGGCGCACGGGCGTGTGGACGCCGCGCTTCGAAAACAACTCGAAGCGCTGCATCGAGGACGTGGAGACGCCTATTCACAGCCGCGGGTGTGAAGAGCCGCCGTTCACAGCTCGACGCGTGTGAGTAGGACGCGGAGACCCGCCGCGTCTTCTCTTGGTGGCGCCGGCGCCGGGAGGAGCACCCGCCTCCAACAAACGAATTACCGCCCCAGTTCTGGTGATGCAGGTGCGCCGGCGCCGGGAGGGGCATCTGCCCGCGGTGTAAACATCAGCCGCTTTTTCTCTCTCTTTTTTAGGTACGCCGGCGCCGGGAGGAGCATCTGCCCGCGATGTGTCAACCTCAGCGGCTGCGCGGCGGAGCTGTGAACGGCGTCTCTTCACACCCGCAGCTGTGAATAGGCGTCAACATCAGCGGATGCGCGGCAGAGGTCGAGGAGCTAGACCGTCAGCGCGACGGTTGCCGCTGCTCGCTGCGCCGGGGGAGGTCGTGTTGATGGCATCGCCGACCGCGGTCCGTGTCGCTAGGCCGCCGCTGCTCGTTGTCCGGGGGTCTGACATCCGAGGAGGAGGCGGAGAAGGCGGCGGCGTCACGCAGCGGGGGAGTGGGCGGTGCTGATGAGTGGTCGGTGCGGAGGGAATTGGCTGCCGAAGGAATAGGTCGCGACGCCGGAAGCACGGCTGGGAGGGGAGGGTGCAGGGGGGGGAGGGGCAGGGCGCGTGCGCCGCTAGATGACGCCTTCTCGCCGGAGCTGTGAACGGCGTCTCTTCACAGTTGCAGCTGTGAACAGGCGCACGCATAGCGACGCCTTCTCGCCGGAGCTGCCAGAGAGGTGCTGCAGCTCTCTCTCCTCTGCTGTGAACGGCGTCTCTTCACACCTGCAGCTGTGAGCAGGTGCTGCAGGTCTCTCTCCAAGGCGCGCCGAGCCTCTCACGTGTTGCTCCTGCTGCCGCTAAGATGAGACCACCACTACCTGCTATATCTCCACATATCTCCCCATATCTCCCCATATCTCCCCATATCTCCCCATATCTCCCCATATCTTAGGTGTGCCGGGCCTACTACGTGTGGGAGAAGGAGTGTGCCGCCGCCTAGCGCCGCGCGTGCGGCGGCGAGGGGAGAGGGAGGAGAGGGAGGAGAGGGAGGAGAGGGAGGAGGAGGAGGAGCAGGAGGAGGAGGAGCAGGAGGAGGAGGAGCAGGAGGAGGAGGAGGCAGTGAAGAGGAGGAGCGGCGTCGCCGCTGTAGGAGGAGGCCCCCCTCTCGCCGTGTAGGGGGAGGGGGCGCGTATACGCGGAGCGTTGGGAATACTGTGAATGGAGATGGAGGAGCGCGGCCAGAGCGCGGCCGTTGGTCCGATGGTGTCCGAGTCTCCATCTGTGCGTAGGGCGTCGCCAAGGGTCGCACCTTAACCTCTCTCACAGACTAGCGCGGCGGAAAGCATGAAAGCATGGGCGGCACGTTTTCCCATGATTTCTTTCTCCTTGCCCCACCAGCTAGCACACACGACATCTCGGCGCACATACGGCTTTATCACAAAAGAAATCATCGTTTGCCAAAAGTGCTCCAACGTCCAAGTGCTCCAAGTGCCCCTAGCGCCTGTGAAAGACCTTTCCTTCATGCACAACGCGATAACATTCTTTTTTCTCTTTTCCAATGTCCCCATCCATCCGATCGGCCATCCCAATAGCAAACACAATAGACTACTTTGCGAGAGATACGTACGTGCAGCTGCGCGAAGGCGTCACCCAACGGCCGCCGCGCGGCCGCTCAGGTTCGAGGCGCCGTCCTCCGTCCATGTGCCCTCGAGCCTCATGGTGTCGACCGCGGCCGGGAAGGAGTCGGCGAGGCTGCGCATGATGGCGGCGTTGTGCTCCGGGCCGAGCGTCTCGAGCACCGCCTTGATCGTCACCTGGTCGACGGAGGTGTGCAGCCACGCCCGCTCGTGGAAGATGTCCTTGACGCTCGCGCCCGCCGCGGCGAGCACGCCGGTCAGCTCCGCGATGCCGCCCGGACGGTCGCTCACCCGCAGCGTGAGGCGCACAAGCCGCCCGTCGGCGGCGAGGCCGCGCTCGATGACGCGGCCGAGCACGTTGACGTCGATGTTGCCGCCGCAGAGCGGGACGACCACCCGCTTCCCCTTGAGGTCGGGTCGGTCCAGCGGGCCGCCGGGCAGGAGGGCGGCCAAGCCCGTCGCCCCGCCGCCCTCGACCACCATCTTTTGCCCCTCGACCAGCCGCAGCACCGCGAGCGCGACGTCCTTCTCGTCCACCCGCACGACCTCGTCGACCCACCGCCGCGCCACGGCGAAGGCGTGCGGGCCGACCCGCGGCACCGCGAGGCCGTCGGCGAGCGTCGGCAGCACCTCCGCCGTCACCGGGTGTCCCGCCCGCAGCGCCGCGGTGTACGAGGCGCACCGCCGCGGTTCGACACCAACCACCTGCGGGCGCCTCACAGCTAGAGGTGTGAAGAGACGCTGTTCACAGCCTCCTCCGGACGTCGGGTTCGGAGGGCGGAGGCTCGGGTCGAGGGTTCGGAGGCCAGACACCCGCCAACCTGCACCGCCGGGTTGAGCGTCTTGGCGGCGAGGGCGATGCCGGCGATGAGGCCGCCGCCCCCGATGGGCACGACCAGCACCTCGCAGTCGGGGACCTGCTCCAGCATCTCTTAGGGTTAGGGTTAGGGTTAGGGTTAGGGTCAGGGGCAGTCGGGGACCTGCTCCAGCATCTCTTAGGGTTAGGGTTAGGGTTAGGGTTAGGGTCAGGGGCAGTCGGGGACCTGCTCCAGCATCTCGATGCCGAGCGTGCCAGTGCCCGCGATGACCTCGACGTCGTCGTAGCCGTTGATGTAGGTCAGTCCCTGCAGCGCGGGGTCCTGCAGCGCATAGTCCTTGGCCTCGCCGATGTGGCCTCCATGGATGATGATGTTCGCGCCGAAGAGCCTGCAGTTCTGGACCTTGGTCATCGGCGCGACGGTCGGCATCACCACTGTCACCGGCACGCCCAGCTGCGAGCCGTGCCACGCGAGGGCTAGCGCGTGGTTGCCGGCAGAGGCGGCAATCACGCCGCGCCGCCGCTGCTCCTCGCTGAGCGACATGATGGCGTTGCGTGCGCCGCGCTCCTTGAAGGAACCCGTGACCTGCGACTGCTCCTTCTTCAGGTGGATGCTACAACCCGTCATGTTGGAGAGGTGGTACGACGGCCTGCACTCGGTTCGGACGATGCCCGACCTGATGCGGTGGTGCGCCCGAACGACGTCCTCGAACCGGACACAGTCGTCGGCTGGAAGGTCATGAGCCGCTGCGGAGGAGAAGGCGCGCAGGCGGCGAGACGAATCGCGCAGGCAAGGACGGAGCCGACGCATTGTTCGAGCAGTGGCGAGTAGAGGCACACGCTAGCACTCTCGAGGTCTCTTGGAGCAGAGCCCCGGGCATGGCTCTCCCCGCAACTCTCTTGACTGTTCTTCACCTTACTACATACATACATACTCTCTTGCTAACATGCGCGCCCCACCGAGACTGTGGTGGGCGCGCTGCGGCCGCACGTCTACCTCCGTCATAGTGCCACGACGTGCGGCCTAGATTTAGCACACGCGCCTCAGCTTGCATACACTCATACATTGGATTGTCATCGCCTGTGAGTGCGAGAAGGGCTAGCCGCAGGCAGCTAGCCCATGAGGAGAGCGTCCATAGACACCTCACTAGACCCCACATACGGTCTCGTCCGTGCCTCGCAGGCCGGTGAGATTGCTAGAGGTGGAGCAAGCTGCTCTAGCCTCACATGTCACTTCCTGTCGTCTTTTGTTTGAGTTGTGCCCTTGTTTGTGCCCTTGGCACCGTGGAGTGCTGGGGGGGGCGACAGGGAGGATGTGGCCCTGAGTTATGTGTACGCCGACTCAGGGTGTGTGGCAGCCAGCTGGCTGTGTGTCTTGTGAGCTTGTTTGTGTCTGTGTGTCGCTCGTGCGTGTCGTCATCATCTGTCCAGCGTCCACCCATACCGCGTTGGTGTCCAGTCCGAGCCTGGCTGTTCTTCACCTTTCTACCTACCTACCTACCCCGGAACCGGACCCGACCCAATGGGTCCCTCGGAGGGGTACCCGTGGGTCGGCGGGGCCTCTACTCGCCAGGGGCAGAAGTCTCCGGCAGAGCTGTGCAAAGAATTCTTAAGATACACGCCTCTCTCACAGCACACTGGCACGACAAGGGCGCGGACTGGCGCGGACTGGCACACAAACCGCAAGAATTCTAGGAATACATGCCCCTCTCACAGCGGGCGCGCTGCGGTCGCACGCCGTCGTCCTCAGCCTCGCCAACTCCGGTTACCTCTCGAACGCCTGTGCGCGCTTCTCCCGCACCAGGCGCAGCGGCGCTTCACGACGGTGGTCCACAACAGGAACTGGCGCGACCTCGCCGTGGAGCTCGCTGAGGAGGGCTCCGCGGGATCGCGGTCTGCTCCTCGTGGCAAGAGGGGCAAGGCGCGTGCCGAGGGCAGGGAATGGGCGAGGCACGCGGCCTGGCGGGAGGCGGTCCGCCTGCCGGTCCCTTGTTCTCGCGCCCCACAGGCGTTCTTTTTTCGCAGTACTAGCACGCGCCAGTTCGCACCTGTGTCGAGCCTGTGTGCTGTGAGAGAGAGTTGTCTTGTTTAAATTCTTTTTTCGCACGACACACCACCTCAATTCGTCGCATGCTGACGTTGGCGATGTCTGCTGCCGCCCTCGCCAGTCCAGATGCGCGCATGTCCGGCTGCTACGACCGCCTCGCCGGCCGGCTGCTCGCACGCCTCCGCCTCGGCGACGCTGCGGCCACCTCTCCAGAGCGGCCGTGGTGGGTTGCCATTGCTGGCGGCCCCGGAGCGGGAAAATCGTCCCTCGCGAGCGCCGTCTGCGAGCGCGTCAACGCGGTCTCGCCCGGCGCCGCCGTCGTCCTTCCGATGGACGGTTTCCACTACTCCCGCGCCGAGCTGCGCGCTCTCGACCCGCCCGACGCCGGCTCGCTTCTGCCTCGGCGAGGCTCGCCGTGGACGTTCGACGCGGAGGGGCTCTGCGCGTCGCTGACGCGCGCCAAGGCCGCGTCCGAAGGGAGACTACCCGTTTACTGCCGCGTCAAGTCGGACCCTGTGCCGGCGAGATGTTAGCGAGATTTCGCCGAGACTTCCCCGAGACGTCACGTTCCGCCGGTGACGGTGCGGGCGAGGGACGGCCGTGGCTTGAGGGTGGGAATGACCATTCATCAATCCATAGGATAGGGTGCAGCTGCCTAATTAACTAATTGATACTAATTACTCCATAGGATGGCGTGCAGCTGCTGCCTTCGCACAAGCTCGTGCTGGCGAGCGGCGCTAGCTGCTTCCATGCCTTACACCACTACACTCTCACACCACTACACTGTGGCAGTGGTACCCGAGCCATGTGACCGCTGTCCCTAACCCTGACCCTAACCCTGACCCTGACCCTGACCCCTGACCCTGACCTTGACCCTGCCCCTGCCCCTGCCCCTGACCCTGACCCTGACCCTGACCCTAACCCTGACCCTCACCCTGACCGTGACCCTCACCCTCACCCTGACCCTGACCCTACCCCTGACCCTGACTCTTGGGGTTTGCGCACAGGTGGAGGGCAGCCTCGGGTGCTCTCAACCCCGGGTACTCTTTGTCACGCCGGGGCCTGCATGCAGGTGGAGGGCAACTACCTGCTGCTGGGCGAGGAGGAGGAGCGGTGGGCGCCGCTCCTGCCCCTGAAATGTCTAGGAAGTGTCTAGGAAGTGTCTAGACACTTCCTTCTAGAAGGGTCTAGGAGGGGTCTAGGAAGTGTCTAGCAAGTGTCTAGGAAGTGGCTAGGAGGGGTCTAGGAAGTGTCTAGGAAGTGTCTAGGAAGTGTCTAGGAGGTGTCTAGGAGGTGTCTAGGAGGTGTCTAGGTGGGCGCCGCTCCTGACCCTCTGGGACGAGAAGTGGTTTGTGGCATGCGCGTCCGCAGAGGAGCGCGCGATTCCCCGAGATTCCCCGAGAGTCCCCGAGACCCCCCGAGATGATTCGAGATTCCCCGAGATGATTCGAGATCGGAGGCGTGTCGTGCGCAGAGGAGGCCAATATCTCGCGCACATCTCGAGGCCCCACCCATCACGCGCCGCCGTCGAGTCGCTGGTAGGAGCAGCGGCGGAGGCTGATCTCGCGCCACCTCGAGACGTGGAACGAAGAAAAGGCGCGGCACATCTCCGTCAGTCAGTGGTACACACACGTCCCTGGCACGGACGACGGGGCACACGCACTCGCGGAACACACGGGGCATTGCACACGAGGGCGGTGTGTGTGATCTCAGGGAGAGGCACCACCACCACACAGACGACAGTGCCAGAGTCAGACGGGCCGAAGTTGGAGCCCTCACTCACCGACTCAGCGGCACATCTCACTCGTCCGTAGTATGTGGAAGGCAGACCGCACGGTCTTGTGACGCGAGCATGCGCGCGGCCAGCAGCATCGAAGTAGCACTGCTTTGTAGCCATCCGTCCTCACTGGAGCGGGACGGGCGCGCGGGGCCCAGGCGCGAGAAGAGGGCACCAGCGCGAGGAAGTGGGGAAAAGGCCGGCTGTCGGTCGGTGTGTTGCCCAGGCGGCCCCACCACTCTGTGTGTGCTGGTGTGTGTGCGGAGAGGGGGCTCCCGGCGGCCCCTCACCTCTCCTTCTACCTCTCTCCCGGCCAGGCGGCGCGCTGGGGAAGCGGCGAGGAGGGCGCTGCCGCGCGAGCGGACGCCAACGACGTGCTCAACATGCAGAGGGTGGCGCCGACGGCGCGACTCGCCGACCTGAGGATCGAAAGTTTGTGAGAAAGAAATAAGATGCGAATGCGCGTGCTGCCGAGACGACCCGACAGACCCCGGAGCGGTCGTGTTGAGCAACTCCACACCGCAGGTTTGTGTTCGAGAGAGCACATATACTTTACTACGCGATGTTGCCCTTTTTCAATATACTTTACGAATTGGTGATTGATGTAACTTATTCGGACCCCCCTCTCCGGCCTTCGTCTCGTTTTTCGTGCCAAATTGTAGCCAAAGCTGAAAATTCATCATTGTCACAGAGCTCACCCGTATTTGTCGTGACAACTAGTCGTGACAACTAGTCGTGAGGCGCCCCGCCGCCCCGGCCCCTCTGGGCCCTGGGCCTGGCCCCTTCCTTAGTCGAGAGTTTGTTCCGGCGTGTAGTTTAAAAACGCGCATGTACGCCGTACGGTCGTCCGAGGACGCGCCCCGGCCCCTTCCTTTCGGCTCGCGCGCAAGGCCTTCACCCGAAGCCGTGCATCATCTGGGCCTGCACGTCCTCAGCGCGGATCTGACCGGGCAGAGCCTACACTCACCCGCCACTCGCCACTCAATTCGTGATGCACGCGCCGTCCGTACGCGGAGGGTCTTGCCGGGCAGGGGTGGCCGAGGGGTGGCCGAGGGGTGGCCGAGGGGTGGCCGAGGGGTGGCCGAGGGGTGACCGAGGGGTGGCCGAGGGGTGGCCGAGGGGTGGCCGAGGGGTGGCCGAGGTGAGGCCGAGGGGTGGCCGAGGGGTGGCCGAGGGGTGGCCGAGGGGTGGCCGAGGGGTGGCCGAGGGGTGGCCGAGGGGTGGCCGGGGGGTGGCCGGGGGATGGCCGGGCAGGGCGCCCTCATGTTGTTAAAGACTGTGTACGCCGACTCGCCGCCGTCGGCCACGCCGAGGTTTGCAAAGATCGAGTAGATGGCCGCCTATTCACAGCAGTGGGGTGTGAAGAGGCGCCGTTCACACCTCCTCGGCAAAGAGCGAGTGGATGGCCGCCTATTCACAGCAGTGGGTGTGAAGAGACGCCGTTCACACCTCCCTGGCAAAGAGGGAGTGGATGGCCGCCGCGATAAGAAAGGGCATCGCGAGACCGACCTGCGGCGAGCAGGGGCTCGGGTAAGGCAATCTCGGGTGATCTCGGGTGATCTCGGGTGATCTCGCGAGACCGACCTAAAGGAAGCAGGCGCAGGGAAGACTTCTCCACCACACGGGGTGGCGGGGCAAGGGCCAGGCTAGTCCCTCGCGACTCCACGTCTAGACAGGCGGGAGCCGCACGGCCTTCAAAGTGCAAGGCCCGGTGCGCGTGGGTGAGGTGTGTGTGTGTGTGTGTGTCCGTGTCTGTGTATGTGTCTGTGTCTGTGTGTGTGTGTGTGTGTGTGTGTGTGTGTGTGTGTGTGTGTGTGTGTCCGTGTCTGTGTCTGTGTCTGTGTCTGTGTTGTGTTGTGGGTCTGACCGCGCCTCCCTCGCCGCCACCAGCAAGCCAAGCCAGAGCGCGGCGCGAGCCCACGTCCCTCTCTCCACAGCGGCAACGGCGGCGCGCGCGGCCGGCGCGTGCGCGCGCGCCGCGCGCCACGCCGCCGCCACCCCCTCCGCCGCCCGCGCCGCCAGCCGCCGCGCCTCGAGCTGCAAGTACTGACGCTCGTACTGCCGACGCTCGGCGGCGGCGACTGCGGCGGCGGCGGCGGCGGTGTCGCTGACGCCGCGAGAGTACCGAGCGGACCACGCGGTGATGGAGCGCCGCGGGAGGGACTCCGCCGCCGCCGTGTCGTCAGAGCACTCGACGCCTCGAGAGAGGTGGGACAACGGCGTCGCTCCGTGCAAGAGCCTCCGTAAGTGCGAGTGTGAAGCGCGGGGCGACGGGAGGCGGCCGAGTGCGTGCGATGTCGAGTGCTAGTTGGCAATGCAGCATATATGTCTGGGCTCGGCGCCAGCGCAGCTCAGCCGCAGACGGGCAGTCGCATCACGAGGAAGGCCTGAAGCGCTCGCGAGGCGGCGGCGCAGCACGCCGACTCGGTCCGACGCGCGCAGCTGGACGACGTGCGTCCGTCCGTCCGTCAGGCAGTGGCAGTGGAAGGCCAGGTCGGCCATCGCTCGCAAAAGAATTTAAACAAAACAATTTTACCACATCAGCGGCTCGAGGTTCTCGAGGTGGATATCCTCTGGCCGCGCCGCACAACACTGGAAACACACGGCAGGGGTGGCGGGACGGTTGTGGAGCGAAGTGGCTGTAGCCAGCCTTAAGCATCGATGGGATAATAAAATGAGATTACCAAACACTTGGTTGCACCGCCTTACACTGACGTTCCCTGCTTTCACCCTTCTCTATTACGGTTCTCTGATCGCCAGACAGCCGGCGCGCTCCCCGCGGCCCGGTGGTCGTCCCGGTGGAGGGAGGCAGCGAGATGGTGGAAAGCAGAAGCCCGAGATAGCGCAGCGGCACAGGGGTCAGGGATCATGGGACATGCACATGGACATGGACATGGACATGGACATGGCCGCGCCGAGGCGTACTCCAGCGAGAGAACGAGAGGTCCTCAACAGCAGAGGTCCTCACTCACAGCAGAGGTCCTCACAAGACCTCACAAGACAGAGGTCCTCACAGCCGAGGGGACACACTTTCTCACGCATGCTCGGGGCCGACTGCACGCTAAAGGCTACACGCGCGCACACCACTTGCAGAGTGGCTCTCCCAGGCGCTCACCCCACGGCGGAGGCACGCCAGGCCCCGGGCAGCCGGCCGTCACTCGCCTAAGCGCCTAAGCGGCCTAAGCGGGGGGTGCTTAGGGTGCTTAGGCGCTTAGGCGGCCCTTGCGAGCGTGGCGGCGTGGTGATATCGTAATACAGGTGACTCCGATGACACTCATGATGCCACTGCTAGTGTCATCGCTCAGAGAGCAGCCTCACGCACGTCCACTGTCTATCACTGGCCCTGGTCGCACACTGGACTGCCACTGAAAGTGAGAAACGCCGGGCAGCGTGACGCGCAACTTTACCCTCCCATACGTGTTTGTGCTCCTCCTTCGCTGTCCATCTCCTCATCTATCTCTTTCTTTCCCGCCTGGGCGGGTGGCGCGGGCGCGCGAGGAAAAAAATAAAAAATGGCTCGCCTGATTCACACATAGGTTGCTAAGAAACAAGAGGCTCACATGCCACCAAATTCTTTCTTTATACTAAAAGGAGGGCTACACGACGCCTCCTCGCTGCTCGCGCGAGCGAAATTCTTTCCAAACCGCCCGTCTACACGGGCGGAGGCGCCGGCGCCGGGTGTGTAACACACGGCCGCAACGAATGCCCAGCCCCTCGGCGGTCCGCTCGGCGTGCGAGGACGCCGCGCGGGCGCTTGCCGCATGCACCGACGAAAGCTGCACTGCAACGATGCACGTGCGCCTCGCGACCTGCATCGGCCAGCAGGCCCGGCCAGCCACAACCTACCCAGCACGCACATTGCGCACGCCCACTAGCACGACTCTCTGAAACAGCAGACTTGGCTCGCTGGGCAACTAGTCTCTGAATTGGCCTAGCGGCCCAGCATCAAATTCGGGCTCAACGGTGGGAGCAACGCCGACACCGGACCGGTCGTGCCACCACAGGTGTGCAAGGCGGAGGCTGACGCGTTTGCTGCGTACCGGTAAGCACCCCAAGGCACCTCAGCGACACCTCTGCTATAGACCTCGCCAGCCTGTTGCTTGCTCAGCAGTACCACCCACAATCCATCGGCGATAACGTATCACTGCCCTTTTCCCCCACACGCAACCCCACTCCCCCCTCCTCCCTCCCTCCCGGTGTAGCCGGCCGTCCGACGCAGAGGAGGCGCGCACGCCTTGCGAGGCAGCAGCGTGCGCACAGTTAGGACTCACAGCCGAAAATTGGACTAGGCGCAACGCGCCTTTGCACAGATGCAGCAGTGCACTGTGCGATGGGCGATCGAGTCAGAGCGCTATCATGTTGACGTGAGCCTGCTGCAGTGAACGCGTTGTCCTCACACGGCACCGTGGGCGTGGCTGAGACGCGGCAGCCCTCCTCTTGCGGTGTCCTGCAAGTCGTTGTACCGTAACTACACAGCCATCGCCGCTGTACCGTAACTACACAGCCATCGCCGCTGTACCGTATCCGTAACTACACGGCCAGAGCTGCGAGAGCGCCCGCCGGTACGCACGCCATCGCCCGTGCGCGGGAAGCGGGCGAGGCTGCCTCCCCCTCCTCGTCCAGGAAGCCTGAAGCAACAGATGTGAGTCGGCTCTCCCCTCCTCCTCCAGGAACCGTGAGAGAGAGAGAGAGACGCAAGGCACAGCCGCGGGCCTATCCACGTCTCGGCTCATCCCGGCTCCATCCCTCACCCGTCTGCTCGTCTCGCACCACTGCTCTGTTGACCGCGCCTAACAAATGGCCATCAGCAGGTATAGTCATGAGCAACCGGTCGCCGGCCGGTTGCTGCTCTGTTGGAAGCGCCTGTCGCCACGGCCCGGTTTGCCTTTCGGGCGGCGCCTGCTCACCAAACAACGTGGTCAATGAACAAGCAATGGTGGCCCGTCTGCTGAACACAGCCCCACGCCCCCCCGACCCTTCAAAGCGGCCGGCAGGGGTTGTCTCGGGAGCATTGCCACGGAGGGGTGTGTCGGAGGTGTCTCGGAAGTGTCTCGGAAGGTCTGAGAGGTGTCTCGGTCGGAAGAAGGGCCGCGCCTCCGACGATGACGTCCGGGTGCGTCTCCTTGGCGAGGCGGTAATAGGCGAGCTTCACCTGAGCGGCGGGCAGGGCGGGGTCACGCACCAGCAAATCTTCCGCGCCGCGGTCTCGGGAAGGAGGGACTGGAGACTGGATCGCAGCGCTCATGTGGCGTGCGTGGCAGCGAGGATAAGGAGAGAGCCGGTCTGGCCGCGCCTGCTTGCGTGTCGCGCCCGGCTCCAGGCCAAGCATAAAGTAGGCGTTGTTCAGTCGCACTCGCGCCTCCGTCGCCGCCGAGCAGAGCCGTCTCCGCGATGACAGCGACAGCGGCGCTGGCATTTTCTGCCGCGAAGCGCTGGCCGCGGGAACGGAGAAGGCTGCGGTGCGAAAAAGAGCGTGCGCGGCCCGCGCCGGCAGAGCGGCAGCCGAAGCGGCTGCGTGCTGCTGGCGCTGCCGCGCATCGGCACTCGCGAGAGCGCGTCGGAAAAAAGAAAAAAACCCGTGAAAATGCTTGTGTCCCCGTTCCTCGCTCGCCCGGGCGGAGGGCATGGCCGCGGAGGAGGCGAGTACGCGCTGCCAGGCCTTCCGCAGACAGCCTCTTGGCCAGACTGAGGGTCGGCTTTGTGTGGCGTGGCCCGTGCGCTGCGCTGCACAAAGCTGCGTAAGGGCTGAACTGTATCGTCGTCGTCGTCTCTAGCCAGTCACTCAAACTCTCAGAGGTTGGCTAAAGAGGATCCGGAGCGCGGAAGACTCTGGGGCTCTCTCCGAAGGGAGCGTAGCGTACGCGGAGGGAGCTCAGAGTTACCCCGTTCTCTGGAACCTCTTGGAGCAAGAGGAACTCGCAAGAGACGAATGCGATTCGATCGGGCGGTAGATGAGGGATGGTGGTGGGTCGCTTGAGAACTGGTCGATTGGCGCCTGTCTGAGCAGGAGCCGACGCTAGTCGGGAGCTGTGTGTCAGGAGCCTCGTGGCGCTCGGAGGTCCCGCGCACAAAGCGGCGGGCAGCGGCGGGCGCGGGGTAGGGTTCCCGCCCGCTAGGCTGCCCTCTGCGCCGAGGCTCGACCCGCTTCTCCTCAGTTCACTAGCACAAACTAAAGTTTGTTTATCATGAACTGTATCGTCGTCGTCGTCTCTAGCCAGGGATAGTCAGGGCCGTCCATCAGAGCTCCAGCAAGCTCGGAGACACCCCACTAGTGCGGCTCGACCTCTTTGAGTCACTGCCTTCCCGGCGGTTTGGCTGTTGGTTTATTTATGGGTGGACGCTGGACAGATGATGGCGACACGCACGAGCGACACACAGACACAAACAAGCTCACAAGACACACAGCCAGCTGGCTGCCACACACCCTGAGTCGGCGCACACATAACTCAAGGCCACATCCTCCCTGTCGCCCCCCCCAGCACCCCACGGTGCCAAGAGTACAAACAAGGGCACAACGACACAACAGACGACAGGAAGTGACATGCGAGGCTAGAGAATCGTGCCAATTTTAAAGGCGCACTCCCCGCCCTTCTCAGAGCTGTGTTTGCGCTCGCTGTGCGCTCTCCCGTTGCTTCATGTTGCTGGCTACTCTGGAGTCCTCCTGGCTGCTCTCCGCCCACCAGCCGGCCACAGGCCGTCAGTCTCACCGGCCGGCGTCGAGAGAACGGCCAGACTCGACCGACCGGGTGTCGCGCCGCTGCCTGCTTCTCGCGCCGCTGTAGCAGCGCCAGCGGCTCGGCCGCGCATCCTTCACACACGCCGCCACGACCAAGCTGAGCGGGCCCAGTGTCGAGGTCTGGTGCGAGCTGCATGTGAGGGGCGGCTTTGGCCACAGCAGGTCCACCAGACGGATCTCAAAGCTTGCCGTCGGCGTGCTGTCGTGGCGAGAGCCGAGACCGCTGCAGAGGAGCCGAGTGCAGTGACGATCCAGAGGCTACCAGGGCCACCAAGTGGTAGCCCTTGTCAATTATGAGCAGGGCTGTGCTTTGATGGGGTTGTGCTTGAGCGTGTGTGAAGTGGGAGTGCGTGCCGGCGGTGTCTGTGGGTGAAATAGGCGTGTGTGAGGCCGTAAGAGCCGTGGTATGAGCCAGAGTGAGCTTCATCACCCAAAATAAGGACGGTTTGGGACAGCTCAGACTTGGCACTGATGAGCCTGGGCCAGGAGGGCGACAGAGAAGGCGAGGTGGTGAGCTGGGAAGCCGCTTCATCGGCACCTGGACGTGTCGCGATGAACTGCCGAAAAGTACTATTTGCGGCTATTGCTCAAAACTTCGGGAGACAAGGCCTACATATTATGACTGAATCCTTGCGCCTGGTGCATAGGGGCTGCGGGTCGGGACATTTCACGGTCGGTGGCGCCGGTGTTGGCCTCCGGAAAGCCCTCGGAATCGCCTCGGATGGGGTCCACCGGAGACAATCTCGAGCCCTCTCCGTGGCATCAC